ACACCAACAACAGAAATTCAAAATTTAAATATTTATATTATAAATCAACTCATAACCAACAAATATAAGTCGAAATACACACTTACATGCATATGTTACTATATGTTTCTATATGTTACTAGTAATGTATACTAATGTGTACTAATGTACATAGTCTGTAGAACCTGTAACTTGAAATATATGTCAAAATCATCAAATTTGTCTCCAACTTCAACCAAATTTTTTGACACCTTCAATGAAAGGATCAATGGCTTCCATTAAGCTGCAATTTCGAAATTAAAACCAAGCAAAAATTATTTTAGTGCAAATTGACGAAAAATTGAAGAAACATCAAAACATTAAAAAATCGACAAACACTAGGAGCTCGAGAGATATGGAGAGGGAGAGGTCATAGCTGCGAAATGCTACGAATTTTAGACCACACAACCAATGACTCATCACACCAAGTGCCTCCTACCAAAACCCTAGCCACCGCTAACCACCCAAGGTTCCACGCTCGCAATGAAACAAAATTTAAAATAAACCTGAAAAAAAAAATTGAACGAAATTGCCATCAAAATATAGATCTCGAAAAGAGGAATCTAACGGTGGCTAGCCCGTCAAATTCCGACTACCGAAACACAAATTACACCTCTGGCAAGACCCACCGTCGTCGAAATACGCATCGACTGTAAAACGATTGCAGAAACAGACCAGAGATCCAAACTGTATGAAATCACCACCAAAAGAAAGAGTTCGACGAGGGGAATCTAAGGTAGTTAAACCATCGAATTCCGACCACCGAAGCGAGAGTTATGACTCGGGGAAGCAACATCACCAGTTGAAGGCCTATGGAAGCGGGATTTAGATCTGAGAGTTGAGAAATGAAGAGAGAAACGATTGTGTATTGATTAGGATTTAAAACTGATTTTCAAAGAGCATACTTCAAAGTGGCCAGAGGGGTATCTCAAATTAATATCAAAATGAAAGAGGTATGGACCAAGATGTAATATCCTTGTTGGTCAGTTCATATTATTTTCCATATCAGGGAGGTCCATAAATAATCCCTTTAATAATCAAATAATATGCCAAAGATATTAAATTTTATTATTATTATTATTACTGCTGCTGCAGACCAATCTCAAGAAATACCTTTTTCAATTCTTTATATTTTAATTATTATTATTTATAAATTCATTATAAATACTTTTGAAACTAAAGAAAAAAAAAGTCCTAGAAAAATGTTATCCTACAGAAATAACAACTATATGGGTATTTTAAAAATGATATTATCAATACAGCATTTTCTTTGACCAGTTTTATGAGGAAATTTTAAATAACATTAGGAAATCTCTAAAATTTTATTTTGATATCATGAAAGTTGTACATATATCTCCAAATCCAAATCAAACTATAAAGTGAAAGTAATGTGCCCACATTGATTATATAGGAAAAGGTTCTCTTAAACAATCATCAATTTATTTTTAACTGACATATTCATCATTTATAAATTAAATATAGAATTTTTCGCCTACTTAACTGTCTTCTAGTATTAAATTTGCTGTCAACACACCACATTATTTGATTTGATCGTTGGAGCGTCGGAAATTCCATGGCATGTCACATAGTCGCTTAACTTGTTTTTCAGGTTATGCAAACAAGTATATTTCTTTAGGCCAACAAAAATCTCGTGTGAATTGAACCACACATTCGAGATCAACCACCCAACTTGCTAAAAATAAATACTTTTTAGCAAATGAAATTTTTGAGTAATGGACTATTAGTAGCAAAGATAAATACTACGTTGTCATTTTATTTATTTATGTAAGTTCTGAGAAATGTTAGCTGATTTTCCAGAATTTAAAAAAAGTATTCACATCGGACACTATAATCAACGTCTGCATAAATAAATATAATTTCTTCTAGAGGTTATAAATATAATATCTTAACGTAAGTATTTATATGTATCTAATTTCTTCTAGAAGGGTTAAGAGTGTTTATGTCTCAAAAGTCTCAGGTTTTTTTTTCACCCTCGGCGTTCATATTCAAGTTCAACTAATCAAATCCAAAAATTATTTTATAATCAAAATATTTAATTGCATCATACGAATCTGTTCCCCGACATAAACTATGATTAATTAGTTAACAAAAGCAGCACTAATTAAATAATTAACACAAAAAGTATATATCATTCTAAATTGATTAATTGCATAATAAAGTTTGCTTTCCAAATTTAGATAGGCAAAATCTAACCTCGTCATCCTGTCATCCATTATTAAAATAAAAACAATACCTATTAATTACTAATATTTTATTGCAATGCTCTTAATAATGTGATGTTTTAAGCAAAGCATGTGAGTTTGTGCCACGTGTTGATTTGGGCAGTGAAAATGTTGGACTATTTTGACCAAGTGTGGACAATGATATATATACCATGTCCCAGAAAAACAGCCAGAATTATTGCTGCTTTTATGGCAGCAAAAGGAGAGTTAGAATTACCAACTTTGTATTATTTAATTGAGTATTATTATTACATATATGATATACCTATAATATGTTTGCTATGTAACTTTAATATGGGTCAATGTTAATATGGGTGCATCAGATCAGTGGCGGATCCAGGATTTTTGCCTAGGGGGTTCGAAATTGTAGAGTAAAAAATTTATATATCACATTATAAAAACAGTGAACCAAAAATTTACAATTTAAAAATTTTAGGTGAATTGTGGAAATATTTTATGAAAAAAAAGGTGAAAAATGTTAAGATTTGGAAAAAAATCAAATATTGAAAAAAAAAATCAAAATAGTGGAACAAAAAGGTGAAAAATGTTAAGATTTGAAAAAAATATCAAATATTGGGGTGGAGTTCGAACCCGAGACCTATTAATAAAAGGAGGCATATCTTTACCACCTCAACGGCTCAACCACCTACTTTTTCTGTTAATATTTGTATAACAGTACTATTTGTTTAACTCAAAGGTGTGCCCTAGACCATAGGTAGATCCACCACTGCATGAGATCTTACATTCGATAAAATATATAAGGGTATTTTCCTTCATAGATCTATAACACAATGGGCTAGTGGCGGAACATAAGAGGCGTAACAGGGTTGCGGACCCCCCAAGATTTAGAATAAAAAAAAAAAAAAATAGTAACTTTAAGCAATATTTTTAAAATATAGATTTTTGGCCTCCAATCTTTTATAAATATGAGTTTTGACCTTTTAAATTTTATTTTATGTTTTCTCTATTCTTTCACGTAAATTTATATATTTTTTAAGTATATGTCATCATAATATAAAATATTATTGTTAAAATCATACCATTTCACATAAAATATTTCTTATTTTTTACTTTCCTTTATGAATTATTCTAAAAAAATTCAGGGACGATGCCCCCGAACCCCCAAAAAAATTTATCTCCCTCCGTTGTATCATTTCATAATTCCCCCACCCCGCCTACACAAATAACCATCAATTCAATTATGCATACATACACATAAGTGTGTTATTATACGCATAAAATTAGTGGTTTAAAATTACCCGGTGTATTTCATTACATGTCTAAAAAATAGCGATAAGAATAGGGAAATTCTATGCTACACCCCGTTATTAACACCGGGTGATTGTTAAACGTAAATCTACACATAATCACACACACCCATGTATATATATATATTTAGTGGGTGATTATTTAACCTCATCTAAAATTAACAAATACTTAATGTAAATAACCAGTGTACCATATAACTTCCCATAAAATATACAATAATTTGTCCATAAACTGTTTTATGTTAATTAGGTTCGATTAGGCCCACAAGAATCAACATTCAACGGAAGTTTGATATCCGTTTGATGGTGGGTGAAAAAGATGCATCTAAAAAATAATGAAATTTATTAGCATTATATTATAATGAAAAATAGTGAAATTATGTGTACCACTAATTAATTATTGGAGTAGTGAAGGAGAGTTGGGATAATATAGAAAGTGTAGTTAGCAATTTGTTTTTCAAATATGTGAAATTAATTATGAATTTTATATTTATACAGAACCTATAAATATAAACTATTTATTTCGGTTCGTATATTTTGGATCATTAATTATACATTGGACTTATATGTGAAATATTATGTGTTGCAAAATTGTCATGTAAGGTTAAACCGTGATCTATTAAGGTTTATTTGAATTGGACTTTAATGTGTCTAATAAAGCTTGTGCATTTAATTTATAAACACATTATGAATTTTATTATAGTGGTGGGCTAAAATAAAATTACATAAAATAGCTCATTAGGTTATCTATATATATTTGTCATGGTCTCCATGTCACACGTATCAATTTAATTCTCTATGTATTCCATCGATTGAAAGAAAACGAAGAGAAGTTTAAAGGGTTCTCAATTTTGGATGTACATGATGATCTGGATGATTCATGGTCATTCTACATCAATTCCACGAATCAAACTACGGAGTAAAGTACGCTTTCGATTTACGTTTGTGAATAGATTCCGAAGCTATACTATTCACATGAGTATGTACATGCACGATTACTTGGTAGCCAATAGCCAAATGATGCTGCAAGATGCATATGTTTTAGGCTACACAAGACGGTTATAAAACTTGCATAAAAACGTCTACATAGTACAAAACTCAAGAATAGAACATTTAAAGACATGGTAAAAAGTATGATTTATCATTCTTTATTACCATATTTTTTTTAAGAGAAGCACTATAGACTGCAATGTATGGTTTAAGACGGGATGCATAAACGCTCTTAAGGTTATTGAGTTTACGGAGGAGAAGGGGTTATATACGTTGTCTGAAAGAGAGTTTATTTTTCTCATATAGACAATGACAAAACGATTTTTTTCTTCTACATAAAGGGAATTGCTCCTGAAAGATAAATTCAATAACTTTCAGCGAATTCGGTATGCGGTGTTAAATTGAGTTAAACTTAAAATGATAACGAAATTTGGGATCTTATCAATTGTCAAAAGTTTAAAACCGCTTGGTAACAAATGTATGTTCGAGACTATTTGAAACTCAATAGACAATTCCACAAAGTTATTATTACAAATTTTGGAATCCTTAACTTCACATTCATCAATGAACTGATGCAGATCAATCCAACATGTCTCTGGTATTAAAACTGACAAAAACCATCTCATCCTTTGTTCCTTAAAATAAAATAAAAAAGGAAATACTTGCTAAAATCCAACATATTTTTTCCAACTATATACCTTTGCTATGAACAAGATTAGTCGATTTTCACAGTTTAGATGAGCTGGCTTGAATAACCAGCTCCCTCCGTAGAATCTTCCCTGCTGGAGATTTTGGAATCGAGTTGATAAATGCAAGACGACGTATCTTTTTATATGGAGCAACCTGTGTGAGTAAAAAGAAACAATCATCGCTTTTTCTCTGAAAAAAAAAAAAAGAAAGAAGAAGGACTAACGCGCCATGCACCACAATTTTTGTAATGACTTTTTTTTTTTGCTATAATATATACTAAGTTCACGTGCCTGTTTCTCGATGAAGTCCATTATTTCAGTTGCGGTAATAGTGCTACCAGGTTTTCTCACGATATATGCCATTGGAATCTGACCTGCATCTTCATCGGGATATCTGCTCGTAAAAATTTAAATATATTAGAGTTTCGTCGCCGAACAGAATTTGGGGGTGACATAAGAGATATTCTAAGGTGTATAGAAAATAATAATATATTTAGGAAATAGTTTATATAAAAATGCTTACGGAATAACTGCTGCATCAGCGATTTCAGGGATTGATTGAAGTAAATGTTCCAGCTCAGCTGGAGGAACCTGCAATTATTTTATTTCTTCAGGCGAAATTACTACAAAAGACCATGCATTATTAATACTAATTACTCGAAAACAAATAAAATAAAAATAAAATTAGAAAGATGATATATAACCTGATATGCCTTGTATTTAATCAATTCTTTGAGCCTATCGACAATAAAGAGAAATCCATCTTGGTCGAAATAACAGAGATCTCCGGTTTTTAGCCACCCTTCTGAATTCAAGGTTGCAGATGTTGCTGCATCGTCTCCAGCATAACCTGTCATATACAGTTAAACCTCTATAAATTAATACAGTTGGGACTGGCATAATTCTATTAATTTAGCAAAATATTAAATTATCGAACTAATAATTTAATATGTTTTCACCGAGTCGGGACTAGAAGAAATTATTGTTTCAGCGAGGTTATTAATTTATCGAGGTTCTACTGTATATTGTATTCAAACATTTATATTTATTGAACTTTTGTCGTCCTGATAAATTTATATTTTAAGTATATTTTTAGTCATTTTGATGAATTTAAAATCTACTTCTAACCAGTGGCAACTAATAGTAAATACGGGATTTATTCATGTTGCACCCGATAAAATACGCCGGCTAAGGGACTACAAATTAAAGATAATTGGTATAAACTAATTGGTTTTTGGTCCAATTGAATTGTTTGGAATTAAGTGTTAGGATAGTAGACTAAAAGTCTCGCTTTTAGCTACATTTTTATTATTGAATTAATAAAATAGTTTATTATCATTTTATGAGAATCTGCACTATACAATGACCATTCTTAGCATACACAAATGAACAATAGATCTTTACTAGGTGTGCACTTTGTCTGGTGCCGCAAAGATTTTAAGGTAAATATAGTACGGTTTTTTCTTGTTCTCAACTCTCTCCGTTTCTTTTTAACTATCATTTCAACCACAAGAAAAACAAAACAAACTAATTTTTTCGACATAGACAACAAGTAACGCGAGCTAATTATTACTACATGCACAAGCGTTGTTCTAAGTAATTTTCGGAAAAGGTGGATGACATGCATTACAATACAGAATTGCGAAATAATGATGATCGACCTAATTATATATATAGTCCTTTGATAATGTATCTGTCAAGTACCTTTCATAATGGCGGGCCCTCGTAACCATAGTTCTCCACGTTGTCCCGGAGGTAAGGGGTTCCCAGACAGAGGGTCAACTATCTTGGCTTCCATATTCTCCGACAATCGGCCCGCGGAGCCGTACCGTTTTGCCTCATCGGGCCCCATGGCCCGCGTTGCCCCTCCTGTACTCTCGGTCAAACCATACCCCTGACATAAATAACTTCACTTCGATTAATGCTTTTAAATACATGGCACCATAAACTACTTCTGAGGTTAACAATAGTGAATTTATATTATCATGGATATTACACAATATATAAATATATACAGAATATGTAATAAATACATACAAGTGTGTAGTAAAATATTATTTGTGAACTTCATATAGTATAGAATAAACAATGCAGTGGGAATCCACGCAGTGCCTATAGTAATGATTCTGATCTACTCATCACCTTTAAGAATCACACTAACTAGTCAATAATTGATTATTCTAACTATTAATTAGAATGTTTATTTGTTTATTTATATGCTCCAAATCTTTTTTAGTTAAACAAAAAGAAAAAAAAGAAAAAGAAAAGGAAAAAGAAATGTCCGGATACATTAATCTTTAGCTAAAAAGCCAAACTACTTTGACAAATATTGACAACAAAGTACACTAACAACTAGTCCAAATTGGCATTTACGTGTTATAAATTTATAATCAAACTTAAACAAATGATGACCAATGGAACATTAAATACACAAAAAGACAACAAGAAAACTCCACCATTTTACAGCTAACCTTTGAAAAAAAAAGGTATTAAATTTATGGGTAAAATACCGTCAAAGGACCCTTTCAGGGGAAGGTCAAATCACGAAAAACCCCTCGTATTTGGATAATTATAATTACCCCTTAACTGTGGATATTCTTACACTTTTATGGTGCCAAATTCGACAAAATCTTCTAGATTTCATGAATTTTTTTCTAGTTTGTACTTGTTTTGCGTAAAAATACAATTTCTGATGTACCACAATTTAATATTTACAAGCCAAGAGACACATCTGCTGATTATCTTGTTTTAAAATGTCGAGCTCAAACGAGATAAAATTAATACAAATATGAAAATATTCCATATAATCTACAAGATTGCACTAAATTTGACATCGCATGGGCGAGCGTGTACGAAGATTTATAATTGAGTGGTTGTTGTAATTACTCAAAGATGAAGGTTATTTCTGTCCATAATTATTAAGATGAAGGAATTTGACAATAAAACAGTTAAAAATGTTTTTTTACTTGAAAAGGAAAGGCAGCAATTTTACTGTACCTGGAAAATCTCCACGTGGGGGAACCTCTCCTTGAACCGCTCGGAAACCTCCTTCCCCAGCGGCGCTCCGCCGCAGCCCATCGTCTGCAACGACCTCAAGTCGTACTTATCCACCAGATCCGACTTCGCCATCGCCACCACCAGCGGCGGCGTCACCGGCACAGCAGTAACCCTGTATCTCTCCACCGCCTTCAGCATTTCCACAAAATCGAATCTCTCCATCAGAACCACCGTCTCCCCCAGCGCCGCCGCCCTAATCAGCATGAAAAATCCGAACACGTGGAACAACGGCAGCGTGAACAGCGACACCGATTGAATACGAGCGTCGCTGTCGCCATCCCCAAACTGATTTTGGTACATTCCGGCGATCACCGCTATCAGATTCCTGTGGGTGAGCACCACCCCTTTCACTTTCCCGGTGGTGCCGGAGGAGTAGAGGATAGCGGCGGGGTCCGATTGATCCACGACGACGTCGTTTTGTGAGGGGGCGGAAACCCCCGATTCGAGCATGGACAGAAACTCCGGCGAATCGAGGAGGATAATGGGGGTATTCGGCGGGAGCATTCTAGATGTTTCCGAGGTGGCGAACGCGAGCGCGGGTTTACAGAGTCGGACCTGGTGAGCCAACTCGGAGGGGGAGGACAGCGGGTTGGAGGGCGAGACGACGGCGCCGAGGGAGAGGAGAGAGAAGTAGAGTACGGGGATGTGGAGAGACGGCGGGGCGAGGACGAATACGACGTCGTTTTTGGAGAGGGAAGGGCGGAGGGAGGATGTGAGAGAGGCGACTTGTCGGAGGAAGGTGGAGTAGGTCACGCGGTGGCCGGTGGCGGCGTTGATGAGGAAGGGGGTGGTGGAGAGGGCGGCGGAGGTGGCGGTGGTTGGGGAGTGGAGGAGAGAGAGTGCGTGCTGAACGATGGAGAGGGGTTCGGAGAGAGGGGGGAGAGGGACGGCGGGGCGGAGGCTGTGGTAGATGCTGGTTTGTGGGGAGAAGCCATTGTTGGGGTTGATGGTGATCTGTGGTGCTGAGGATTGAGTTTCCGCCATGGGAATGGGAATGAGAGCTTGTTTCAGAATTGTGTTAAGTATTATAATTGTTTGAATATCTCATTCTATGTAGATTTTTATTTTTTTTCTTAATGTGGTTAAAATCGTTGACCACACATCAGGACACATATATATATATATATATATATATATATATATATATATATATATATATATATTGTAGCGGTTGAAGCAATCGAGATTGTCTGTCTCAATTGACTTTCGAATCTCATTGTCAAATGTCAACGGTTGCTAGGTCGTGCCTATCACACATGGTTAGTCTAGTATTGTCTATATCTCGTATAATATATAAACTATTATACGAGAGTATAGTTTACCTGGTGCATCTATATGCTTGGCTTCAGGTTCTTTGGTTACTACAGAAAAAATATATAATTTCTTTAAATAATTTATGATCTTATGGCATATTAGTATAATTTAACATAATACAATTTCTGATATTTTCAAATTTTCAAAATTCTGAGGCATTCGAAAATTGAGAATTGATTTTTGAATTCTGATTTTTTCGAAATGGAAATTGGAATCCATTTTTAATATTATACTAAATTTAGTTTGTTTGTTTATATATTTTCAGATTAGGAAAGCGAAAATTCAAATCATTAAACTGCGAGTATTTTTTAAACTTTTAATTGGGTTGGTTGTTCTATGAATTTGACATCTTTTTAATACGAAATTTCTTTATTTTTTAGCTATTGTTTGTTAAATTAAATGTCACTTAGATTAGAGAAAATAAAATAATTTAAAAATAGGAGTTAAAAGAACCAATTAAAAAAATCAAAAAAATAGTGACGGGAAATAGTTGTTCAGGATTATTTACAGGTATGAACAGTGAGAATAATATACATAAATGGTTACTCTAAAAAAACAAAAAAAATATACATATATGGTGAGTTTTCTTTTCGAGTTATAAATTGGTGTAATTCACCGGTGTTCTAAAAATCTGCCGAGTATGCCGATTAATAGGTCTTCGAGGCGGAGGCGGTCTAAAACTTTGACGATTTTAGTGTACATGTTTGAAAAATTAGTTTTTTGCATGTGAGGCGGTTTTAGGCGGTTTGAGGCGGTCCGATGTCGGTCTGAGGCAGTCAAACCTTTATGGCGGGTCAAACTTCGGTGGCAAAAATCGGCAAAAAATCGGTCAAAAATCATTTTTTTTATATAAATTCAAAATAAAAGTTGGAATTTTAATAAATAAAAAAAATGAGTTTATGCTTTATTTTGTTAATGTTAACTATTATTGTTAAAGAACTAATGATATATGTCAAGAATGTTCAAGAGTATATGTAAATTTAAAAAAAAATGCCTTTTTATTTAATAATATTTTATAAGGATATTTATGTATTATGATCTTATTATTATTAAATTTTTATTATGTTATTAAGATATATATATATATATATATATATATATATATATATATATATATATATATATATATATATATATATATATATATTGGAGATATAACTATTTTTAAATATTTTTTTATATATGTTTTGAGTATTTATAAATAATATCTAGAAATATATTATATTAAATTTTAAAACCGATTTATTTCACCGATTAATTACCGCCTCACTGATTAATCGTGAGTCGGTCCCTGACCGCCTCCGACCCGATTACCGCTTTTTACAACGTTGTATTCACCCTTTTAAAATGGTGATTTCTGCCCATTTTTCGATACCTCATGAATTGTGCACAATAATTTAGCTGAATGCTTCTTATTCTTATACAGTTGATGGCTAGGATTGGGAGGAAGAAGCTAACGGCCAAGATTCAGTCAAAAAATAATTTGTTACGGAAATTGAAAGCATATTTGCCAAAGGCAATTTCTAACTTTGACAGAAAATTACGGACCAACCAGAGTTTCAAAATCCTCGTGAGTATCTATGTAGCATTCAACAAATTGGTTCAGTCACTCAATACCGCCAAGAATTTACAAAGAGATCATCACGTGTCACAAATTGGCCTGATCATTGCTTATTAGGTGTATTTTTAAATGGCTTGAGGGATGAACTAAAGGCTGATGTTCGAATTCACAAGCCCAGAACTGTGTATAAAGCTATGAGTTTGACACTTGAATTTTACCAAACTTACATCCAATGTTGACTTAAATCGTCTTCATCACGATCCCCGTTTTCCTGCACCACATAGACCATACCCTCAGCCCCATTCTGTTAAATCTTCGTCCATGCCATCTGGACAAGCTCTGTCATGGGTAGGGGTGGGCATTCGGGTCGGGTCGGGTTATTCGGGTTATTCGGGTTTTTTGCAAAAAAAAAATTACCCGAACCCGACCCGAGATAACCGGGTACCCGCCAACCGGGTACCCGGTTATTTCGGGTCGGGTTCGGGTCGGGTTCGGGTTTTGCTATTTTCCTCTTTTTTTTTTTTTTTTTTTTTCTTTTTTTTTTTATAAATATATATATATATATAGATATATATATATATATATATATATATATAGACAGATACATACACTATATATATATATATATATATATATATATATAGACATATACTGATATACATATATATATATATATATATATATACACAGACACACAGACATATACATATATATACATACAAACATAGACATATATATATATATATAGTATGTATTACAGACATATATATATATATATATATATCTTTATATATATATAAAAAAAAAAAAAAAATTTTTTTTTTTAAACCGGGTACCCGATCGGGTACCCGGGTAGAATTTCTATTACCCGGACCCGACCCGGTTTGGGATCACCGGGTACCCGAACCCGGGAAAAACCCGGCTACGTAAAAAATTACCCGATCCGGTCGGGTAATACCCGACCGGGTCGGGTTATACCCGAATAACCCGACCCGAATGCCCACCCCTAGTCATGGGAGGAGCGACAGTCACGGATGACGAAAGGTCTATGTTTTCGATGCAACGAAAAATTTGGACCAAGCCACCGCTGCAAATCGTCTAACTTTTCACTCATGGAACTTATGGAGAACGAACTTCCAGCTACAAAGGCGCAAGACGGAATCAATGCACATACCGAGGATGCTACTGTTGCCGGATTGGCTGAAATATCTTTCCATGCTATGATGGGACTTCAGCAACATCAACCATGTAATTTTTGGGCAAAATTAAGCACCGACAAGTTTTAATCTTCGTTGACAGTGGATCAACACACAATTTCGTGGCGAAACAGATAGTCAAAGAGATTGCATTACCTATCCAAGGGATTCCTTCTTTTGGCGTAAAAAATGGCAATGTGGATGTGATCAAATGCAACCAAATTTGCCGAGACATTTCGGTTCAGCTCCCTGGGTTAACTATCATCCAAGATTTTTATCCATTTGCACTCGGTGGCGCTGATTTGGTCTTGGGAATTAAATGTCTTGCTTCTTTGAATACTGTGCAAGCAAATTGGAACGAGATGTTTCTAATTTTTCAGTTGAATGGGAAAAAGTATAAGCTCCAAGGAGTTCCTCACACACCAACTTTTGATGCCGATTATCAATATTTTAACACATTTCCACCGCCTTGAGGACAAGCCGAATTTTTAGGGGGGGTGTACTGATACAATTCCACCTCTACCAACTCATTTCCAAGAAGAAATGGAAGTTAATTTAGGATAATATGTCAATAAACTGACTTTTATTAAGTCAGATATTATATTTCGGTTATTCCCTTTGTTTAGGAGCCATAAACTGACTTTTATTAAGTCAGTTATTAGATTTCAGTTATTCCTTATGTTTAGGAGATTAGTTTTGTGTTAGTTTAGTATAAATAATTAGTATTTGTTCAGTTTTTAGGGGATTGGAATTAGTAACTTGTATGAATTTCTGGAGCCTTGTCCTCTCCATACGGACAAATATATATGGTATATTATTGTGTTTAAGATTCTTGCACATAATATGCCATTGTTATTTACTATTCTCTTGGATTGTTCTCGATTCCTATCAAAGCACCTGTACCAAAGATTTTAGACTGTCGTAACATTTCAAACTATCAATGGACTAGATAGAGAGGATGAATATGAAGCGTGGTATGATGAGCACACTCGTGCTTTTATATCATCGATTGACGATTTGACGAGTATTGATTTTCAGACTGGTGAATTTAGTGGTACGTAATCTTTTATTTATTCATAAAATTATTCTGCTTCTATAACTTATATTATAATTCTTTCGGGCTAAGATTGGCCTCAATCTGGCAGATATGCAGTCTATGATTAATATATTCAACAGAATCGAGATGCCTCATGCAAGTGTCCATGAGACTCACAGTAGCACTCAAAGTTCTACAAGAAGTCAAAGAGAAATGACCCATTTCGCTTCTGCACCTCTTCTTTCACATGAAGATGTCTTCCACATTACGAGATGAAGTCGGTCCTTCCACATTTCCTTCTTCATTCACTTATCTCGAACTTGCTGATGATACTTATATCCCAGCCATATTTTCTATGGGTACACGACTAACACCATACCAGCCTGCTATCAACATTTATCTAGGGAGTGAATTGTTGGATCTTAATTTCGGATACTTATATAGTGACAAGTCTGCGCAATGCATTTTAATGCATTTTAATGTTTCTCTCATTCCTTATCACCTCAAGATCATTCTACAGAGAAATATGCTGCCGACACTATTGAAGATAACATTTCGCAAGAATCAGTAGGTATAGTGCTTAGAAACAGGTGTCTGGGTGTATGTGAGACCATTGGACACCTTAGACATCCTTGATTTGTTTTATTTTAAGTATTTTACATTTATGTATTTCACATATTTTGTAGTATTTGACTTCTATGTATTCTTACATTTGTTTGATTTTTTTATTAATTATTCATGAGTTTAAATTTTAAATCTCTACAACCATTTATATAAATGAAAAAACAAGCCACACCATTCTTGTAAAGAAAACTCACTACTACACCATATCTGTAAATAATCCTAATTGTTCGGGTCATTTATATAAATGGTGTAATAGTAGAACTGATTAATAGAAATTATGGTGTGGTTTTTTTGTAATTTACAAAAGTGGTGTAAAACTCCACTTGTAAATGGTGTAATAGTAGAACTGATTAACATAAATAATGTAGTTTTTTGGTAATTTACAAAAGTGGTGTAAAACTCCACTTGTAGAGGCGATTTCTGGCAGCATAGGGAATTGCGCCAAATGAAGTTAGGTATTTTTTTTTTGTTTGGTAGTGATTAACGGGTGAGATTGAAAGGAAAAAAATGAACGACTGAGATGGCTGCGTAGTAAAAGTTACGGACTGTTGTCACACTCTGCAGAGGCGATTTCTGCAAAAGCATAAACCACCTCTGCAAGAGGCGATTTCTGCAAAGGCTGCCAATTTAATTTTC